TGAATTATTTCTGGGTTGTCAGTGGAGTTCCCCAGATTCATGGTCTTAGGGGACTTTAATCTACCTTCTCAGTGAGATCTGAGGTGGCCCAGAGGTTTATGGCCACCATGATAGCCATGGGCCTATCCCAAGTTACCCAGAGCCTGACGAAAGATAGTGGCCGCACATTACATCTGATGTTACTCTCGGAAACTGCTATGTGACCTAAAATTAGGGGACTTTTTGTGTTCTCCTTGTCATGGTCACATCGTGCTGATTACTATAGGATTCTCTGGTGCCACCATCTACTGCAGAGAGGCCAGCTCCATTAGATAGGTTTGCCGCTCCCCCCCTCCCCATGACAGATGGACCCTGATGGGGTTCAGAGGGAGCTGGGAGTGGTTATTGCAATCCATTCAAAGCCTTTGTTGCCACTTAGAATAAGAAGGCAGATGAGGCTTTAAATCAGATTGCTCCTATGTGATCTCTCTTTCTCGTGGGTGGATTTGGCATTCCCCATGGCTCATGGAAAAGTTAAGGCAGATGAAATGACAGAAGAAACATCTAGAGCATTGCTGGCATTCTACAAGAGAAAAACTTGACTGGACACAGGTTAGAGCCACTATTAAGGCCTTCCATGTGGTGGTAAAGATGATGAAGCATCAGTACTTCTTTGCCTTTATTGCCATCTTGTGGCTCTATTTCAGGTGACACATGCCTTCTTGGGTAGAGGGGGCTCAGAGACCACCACCCCGGCAGGGACCTGTGGAAGAATTTGTTTAACAGTGGTTAGAAATTTGCTCATATTTACTCATAGTTGGATGCTGGCCTGGTTGCTAGTCCAGAAAAGATGTTTGGAATGGTTTGAACCTGTTGAGCTGATGACGTGGACAGAGTCTTTAGGATTGTGAACTCAGCCATCTGTTCTTTAGATTTTGCCCCTCCTGGCTTGTTAAGATGGCCCAGGGGTGTTGTTGATTGAATTCTGGCAGTAGTAAATTCTTCAAGTCAGGGAGTTATTTATCTCTATCTCTTGATTCGCCTCCTCCTCAAAAAGCCATTGGTGAAGCCCACTATCTTGGACAATTTTCACCCAGTATCTAACTTGATTTTTGGGGAAGCTGGTTGAGAAGGTGGTTGTACAATAGCTTCAGAGGACTCAGATATCTGGATTCTAACTCAAATAAAAATATAAGATCCAACAGCTTTCTAGTTTATTTGCAGACAATTTCATTTTTTCAGAAACCTGAAGAAACAAGTTCAATTAACTGAACCAAATCTTGACCAAAAGGAAAAAAAAAACCTAGAGCAAAATGCAATGTTAAAGTTCAAAACCCTGAGAAAAGCTAGTTACGCATAGTTTTTAATGAACTTAGGTCAAAACTGAGAACAACCCTACTTGAAAATCCTCAAAGGTAAACAAGCTCAAGGGGCATGGGAGATAAACAGGTATCAACAATCCCCATAAGAAAAACTGAAAAATAAGAAGTCTGGCTAGAATGTGAACAGTAGCTTTACTATCAGGCTTAGAAAGATGTAAAGGAAAAGAAAGCAGGGGTTAGTGAGGAGTACAAGTGATAGCCCAAGGTTTAGGATGGAGCTGGGATTTAAAACTCAAATAAGATGAGGTTAGTGAGGGGGGGGGAAAGTGGTGTACATCAGAAATAAAAAAAGAATCAAGAGGGCTATTCATTTTTTGCATAGGAAAGTAATAAAAGGATATAGGGAGAGGATGGGATTATTTTACAACTTTGTCTCTCCGCTTGATTGAAGAAATGGGGAAGGGAGATAAAATTCAGGACTGAGAAAGATAAGAGCAAGAATCTACTTGCCAACCTTAAATGAATTTAAAATCTCAAGGTCAAATGAATTAAATCCCACTGGTTGAAGTAATCTAGAATTTACTATAATATTTAAAGACTCGTGGACAACAGGAAGAGGTTTGAAAGATTAGAGAAAGATAAACAGAATTATATTATTCAAAAGGGGAAAGGAGGACTCAGTAAATGACAAACTAGTTGGTTTAACTGACATCTGTAACTCGGCAAGATACTTAACAGAAGGTCTAAAGCAAGGGTAGTCAACCTTGGCTCTTTTATGACTCGTGGACTTCAACTCCCAGAATTCCTGAGCCAGCTGTGCTGGCTCAGGAATTCTGGGAGTTGAAGTCCACGAGTCATAAAAGAGCCAAGGTTGACTACCCCTGGTCTAAAGGCCCGTAGAATTTTTTTTTTACTAGAAGCTGGTGTGGAATTGTCAGCAATGGGTCATGCAAGTTATACAATTATATCACCTAAAACAGTTCCTTCATATAGCTTGCATGCTTACCAGCATGCTCTGTAAAAATGGGAAAGTCTGTAGTGAATCCTTGCAGACCCTTATGTGTAAAGCTGACCAATAACATTTATCAATTAAAAAGCAACGATCAGAATGCCTCCCTTATCTGTGAGCAAGCACCACTTAGTACTTCAGATCAGCATAGGAGTGAGAGACTTCAATAGAACTTCAGTTACTGAGCTTAAAGAGCAAGTTGGATACCAATACAAAGTCAGAAGACAGCTGTTTTGACTCATGCCAGGAGTCCCTAAGTTCTAGTTTTACTGAAGTCACAGCTGTGTCAATATTTGTCGCATGCAAATGCTGGACCCGGTCGTGGAAGAGCGAAAAATACAGACCAACTATTCTACACTGGAGTTCTAAATCTTATGGCCTCAGAGATCCACAACTACTTATAGTACAGACCGCATGTAAATTTTTATCACAGAATGCTTACACCAGTGGGAAGTCAGTAATTTTCAGAGACAATTTTTTTTAAAGATAAGTCTCCAGGTATGTGGAGGACATTTTGAAAGTGTTTAGTAACAAAGCATCTGCTTACTAGAAAGTAAGCTGGTAATATTGTCCTCTACTACTGTTCTAATTTCCCAGAGTGCTTTAACCTCATTAGATTTTATTTTGTTTTTTTTCTGGTCAGATACACACGCTCCTAAAGAAAGAACTAGAATACAACCCATATCGTATATTTTACTTTCCAAGAATGTCTGCAGGACATATAAGGGTCCTTGAAGCATTATTGGAAATAAAGATTCCAACTGAAATTTCTTTGCTTCACAGCATACTTGTTTTCATTATTTTTTTAAAGGAAAAGAATCATATGGTAAGTATATGACAAAATGCCACAGTACTGTAATGCTGCAACATCATTGTAAACTGCAACGCTGTGATAGCACTACTAACTAGGAAACAGCTCACCAAATTAAAAAAAAATTACAATATTCCAGATACAGTATACCCATTAACAAACAAAAACATATATTCAACTAGCTTTTCATGAAGAAGCCATTGTTAGAAATTGAGGGTTCAGCCTCAAATAAGATGTGTCAAAGTATTTGCTCTGTGCCAGGGAACAAGTAGCACATTCTGTTAGGCTCTATTTTTCTTCATAAAATAGGCAACACTGAACTTGCTTATCTATACTTTATTAAAGGTAGGTAGAACTGTGGATTTGAAGAATTATAAGAAATATATGTTTTGTATACACATGCATTTCCAAACTGTTTTTACTAAACAATCACACAGCAGCTTCATTGTGACATTTCAGGCAATAATAAAGAGGCCAAAATGCTGCCTTGCAGAAAAGAATTAACTACAAATATTATCCCTATCAAATCTTGTAGGAAAACATTTACCTTTAAATACATTTTTAGGAACCACACACTGTAGCTTCTTAATATGAATTAACATAAGTAATGAGCAAAACCTAATTCTTATAAACAAGGATCATTTAAGAAAGTACAAGAAGAAACAAATCCGACAACTAAATTGAGACTTATTTTTAATTTTATCCTTTGTATGCTATAACATGAATATAGTACAGACTTCTCTTCTATTAATACAAAGTTTATTTAAATTAAATACTTAATTCTCTAATTTACAGTCTAAAATAGACCAATATAGCAATATGTGCATAACATAGTTCCTATGTTATTGAATACGACTTTGTTTTTCTAAATGATCTCTGTCTCATAAATATACTGTAAAACCCAAGCGGAAAGAGATATTTTTTTTTGTATTTTCCTTTCTGGGCCCAAACAAATGTGTTTATCTTATTTTTAAAATAAAGCCTCTATTTTGTAGTTTATAGACTGTAAGGCTACCCTCTACAGTCTACTTGGATTTATTAAGCAAAGAAAAAAAAGCCAAATTCTTCTTATGCGGGTGAACCAAGGAAGTTCAGAGTATATGAAATAGCAATAGTTAAAGAAATTAAGAGTTTCACCACATTACATGATGAGACTTGGGAAAGACTGTTTTATTAATTTCAATATTTACTTGATCTCAAAAAGAAATATTTTGTCTACGTCACAACTACCAGGACATATAATTCTCAGCAAGCCTGAAATATGATTTCATTTAGCCTGTCCAACATCATGTATGACCTTGCAGAAGTTGTGTGCACTCATCAATCATATGATTCGGCTAGTCAATGGACAGATTGCTCTCACAGCCACATTAAACATTCCATGTGGAGGTATATAACTAATTGAGTTATTCAAACTATTTAACTGACCCACCTGATCCGTGCTTGTATGCATTACCGCTGTGTTTTTTTTAAGAACTGCAAATAGATACAAATAGTCCTCGCTCAATTTAAACCAATATTGACTGTGCAAAAAAGGTTAGTTACTGAACATTTTTAATAAATAACTTCTGATCTATTCACTGAGTCTAGCATCCAATTCAATCATAAAGGCTCTAGGCACTGATACCGATAATTAAGTCAAATTTGAAGTCAAATGTAGATAGTCTTCAACTTATGACTTCATTACAATTGTAAATCGAGGACTACCTCTACCTGCACTTTTCTGGTATTCTGTGCTTTTAAGACGTCATATTGCCCTTTCCCCCAATATAGAAAAAGCAGGGGGAGGGGAAAGGGAATTATTGTTTTTACTCTTTGTACATTGGGTTTTTATTTTCTGTAAGCCACCTAGAGTCACTGAAAGTGAGCGGGAGGCCATATCAATTCTCCAAATAAATAAAATAAATACATAAATTCCAGATAATCCAAAAGAAATGCAAAGCTCAGCTTCCCAATTCTACCTCAATGACTTCTGCCACAGTACTAAAACCAACACCCTCTTGAAGAATAAGCATATTACTGGGAGAAGCCTGCTCCTGCACAATGATACATTCTTCCTCAGTGTTTGAGACCGCAATTTCAATGACATCTTTGTGCTGGGCAGAGCTCTCTTGTGCTGCACTGTACTTAGTGTTAGAGATGAGGACTTCTGCTTTCCTGCCAGGCTCTGCCATACTCAACGTGTGCACTACCAATGCAGCAGGCTGCTCTGAAACTGAAATATCCTTGTGATCTTTAATGTCAGATTTGGGCAAATCCTTGACTATATTGTCTTTGTGCTCAAGCTTGTGGCACTGAAGTTTCTGAGGGAGGCTGTAGCCTACACCACAAATGTTATACAGATGGGGCTCGACACCATGACGGGCTTTCTGATGACGTCGGAGTTTTGTAGCTAGAGGATAGGATTTGGGACAAAGGTGGCAGCAGAAAGGCCGCTCACCTGTATGCAAGCGTTCATGAGCTCGTAACGTGTGGGGATCACGCAGTGCTTTCCCACATACTGTGCACAGATGGGCCTCACCTGTGTGAGAAATCAGATGACGGCGCAGCTCAGGATGCTGTGGGAAGGCGTCTCCACAGAAATGGCAGCGGTAAGGACGCTCCCCTGTATGTAACCTAAGATGCCCCCGTAGATTGCCTTGCTGACGGAATGACTTGGGACAGTAGGGACAAGTATAAGGACGTTCCCCTGTGTGCAGGCGCATGTGGTTCTGCAGTGATCCTGGATTGGCCAGGTGCCGTCCACACAACACACACTGGTAGGCAGAAGAGGTAGAGCTTGGCTGTTTAACTTGATGTGTCTTGCGATGGACACGAAGGGAAGGCCGCCGGGCAAATGATTTTCCACAATCTGGACACACATAGGGACGCTGGCCTGTATGCAGTACCTGATGTTCTTGAAGATCACGCTTGGTGCCGTATGTTTTGTGACACTGTGGGCAGGGAAAAGGCCGTACCCCGCTGTGGCCCAGCATATGTGCTCTGAAACTCTCTTCTGAGCTATAGCTTTTGCCACATTCTGTGCACAAGAATGGTTTGTGACCAGTGTGCACAAAATGATGTTTTTTCAGGTGGCAAAGCTGAAGGAAGGCTTTCCCACACTCTTTACACCTGTATCGTCTTTTAGTGATTGGTTCTGTGTGAGCTGAATCATCAAGCTTGTGTCTATGTGACTGTTCCTCTTGTCCAGGATTCTCTGCCCTGTCTTTGGGTATACTTGGAAGATATCCATTCGGGATTCTTTCGGTACCAGATTCTTTCCTTAATGTCTCTACATTATCAGCCAAAATGGCACTGATGCAAACTGTACTGCATGGTGGTGGGTTTGAACAGGTTTCAGCCAATGTTGCATCTGGCTTTATCTCAGCCATTTGCTCTTCCTGAGAATCTTCTTTACCTTCATGATCCTTGGAAACAGGATATCTGTTAAAAAGTTTATTATTTCTACTCTTAATTTTGGTATCCCATTGTTCAACTTGCAAGGAAGATGTTCTACTGCTTTTTCTTAGATTGACATCTAATCCAAGAATCTGTTCCATCTGTAGCTTCTTATTTAACATAGAAACACAACGGGCTTCGTCTTTCATCTCTGCAAATTTGGAAATACCAGGAATACCTGAAGAGTTGAATCAGGAACTGTTAGCTCTCTTAACAAAACATCAACTAGTTATAGTCACTTTATAGTAAAACGTATTAATTCCATACCTTATCACACCTTCGGCCTTTGGAAATATTTGACTCGGGACACAGATTAAATAAGTAGTCATCAATTGACGATGTAGTCATCAATTGATCAAATTGTAGTTTTGAGAACTATAACAAGGGCATTTTACTTGAATTATAAATATCCTATATAGGTAGTCACTGTTTAGCAATGTCATTGGACAATGACTGTTCATAGTTATGACAGTGATGAAAAAGTAACTTTGCAACCGACCCTCATATTTACAACCTTTGCAGGTCTGTAAAGCAAAGGAAAGCTGAAGTAAGATCATAAGCACAGTTGCAAGTTCACTTAGTGAACCACTTTACTTAACAACTGAATTGCCTGTCCCAATTGGGGTAGCTAAAAGAGGATTTCCTGTATTTTTCAGACTTGTCCATAAAAATTCTACATAAAAATATGTTGCAGTAGTTATATAGATATTAAAGTAAGTCAGAGAAAAACTCTTCTCGAAGGATTAAAATGGTTTCATATTTTTATTTCATTTCATACTAAAATCTATGGGAAAGCCTTCGAGTAAGACAATTTTCTATATATTTATTAAACAACTGCCAGGTTTTGGAACAAAATGCAGCAGTTATAACAATGTAAAACCAAACACAGGTTTGTAGATTAAAAAAAAAAAAAGTCTTAGCGGTTTTTTGCAAGTGCAGGATCTGCTTTTTTCAGTTCAACCGAGTGTTGATCCATTTGGCTGTGGTAAGAATTTACCGAATTTATCAATTTGCCACCTGAGCCTGACATCATGGGTTGAGACAGAATGGCTGGACCAAAGTCACCCAGCCAGCTTTCCTGGCTAAAGCAGGACTAGAATTCGCATTCTACTGATTTCTAGCCTGGTGCCCTAACTACCGGACCAAACTAGCTTCCCTTTGTAATATAATTGTACAGTCAGAGGGGAAGCTCCTTGGCGCCCTGGAGGAACGGACTTCAAATCTGGTGAAAATGCTAGCGAATGTCGTTGTTCTCATAACTGTTCTCCCTGCTGGGGCGGAGACAGGGCCTGGGCCTCTCAGGTGTGGTAGGTGGCCCGTGCCCTCTCCCCGTCCCATCACATCTGAAAGGCCTAGGTCAGGGCTTTTCAACCTTTTCACCCATTGTACCACTTTTAGGATATGGCAATATCCGAGTACCACCAGTCGCCTAGCAAGGTGTCAAAAACTTGATGACCCCAAAAAAAAAAAAAAAGGAAAAAAGTGATAAAGTACAGGTAGTCCTCGACTTACAACAGTTCGCTTAGTGAATGTTCGAAGTGACAATGGCACTGAAAAAAGTGCCCCCCAAGCCACAGCCGAGCAAGACAACTGCCTGCCCACCCGGCGGCGCTCTTCCTCCTGTCCGAGGTTTTCATTGTTGTGAGCATCTCTGTTGGGGATTGGCAGCAGGGATGGGGTGGGGGGGGTGTTTGGTTTTTATTCCCCCCGTCTGCTTGGTGGTTGCAGCAGGTTTTGGTCACTTCACATGACCCTGGGACACTGTGACCATCATAAATATGAATCAGGTGTCAAGCATCTGAACGTAAATCACAAGACCCTGGAGATGCTGTAACATTCCAGCTGATTGGTGCTTCTTCTGGGCTCAGCAGAAGCACCAGGATCAGTGCCGAGCTCCAGCTGGAGCCTGGCGCTGATCCTGGCGCTTCCGCTGAGCCTTGACCGCCCTGCAGCTCCAGCCATCTCTCGCTCAGGCTTGTGCGGTGCTGCCACAGATTCAGCTCATTCCCCTCCCCCGCTACCAGTTTTCTAGGATGGTTGCGTACCACCTGCCAGGTGTCAATGTACCACAGGTGGTACCTGTATGACTGGTTGAAAAGCCCTGGCCTAGGTCCCCTCCCTGGTGTTCTTTTTAACAACCGCAATTGGGAGAGTCAGGATTGTGGTTGTTGAGCAAAGCGGTCACATGGCATCTCGCTTAATAAGCACTTTGCTCAATAACCGAGATTTTGGGCCCAACTGTGGCTGTATATTTCACTTCCTATTTGATTTGCCAGAATTATGTGTGATACTACGTTCCAAATTTCTAAACCACATACAGTACCTGCAGAGGAATCCTGGATAATATCATCTTTTTCCATCAAAGTTTCCTCTTCTAAATCTGTGGTCTTGGCTGTGGTTATTACTTGCATTTTTTGCAGTGTTTTCTTTTCTGTATCAAGTTCCCCATCTGAAGTATGTGCTAGAATATTATTTTTCAGACAAGTAGGATTGTCCTGTGATTCAGTTAACCAGCATAGCAGTTCACTGCCCACATCAATAGGACAGCAGACTTTGATGTGCAATTCCCCGTTGATCCATTCTAACGTTACATTGGCTTCATCTTCAACACAGCTTTGCTTCACCAGGCTATAAAAAACATAGTGATAAATATTCATTTTGGTGCAAGATGCAATATCATTCCAGACATCCCCCCCCTCAAAAAAACCCTCAAGAACAAGGGAAACTTTTAGCGGTAGTACATGCTTCAAATTCAAGCTAAAGCATATGTCTATTATTTCATATCTCTGTATTATAGTTGGACAAAAAAAGTACAGAAATAATGTTTTGTCATGGGTGTAAACATGGAGTACCAGTTTTTTAAAGTTGAAGCTAAATCTGTGACCATTATTTGATTTCAATCTTACCCGTAAGGAGCTTATTATGTATTTACCACTCCTGTCCCAGAACTACAAAAAGGAACTGAAAGATTACTAAGTATATAGATATAGATGTGGAGCTGATGATGGCATACTGAAGGTACTGCTTAACCTAATCCTTTTGTCAAAGATATAAATAGTATTTTAAAATTAGAAAGAATGATTAAAGAGAAATCTAGTAAATAAATGGAACATAGGAACTGCTACCTCAGACAGTTGCAGAAACAATTACAGAAATCATAAAAATTGACTTCCTATACTTGTCTATGTCTTGCATGAAGATTACAATTTCTCATCTGCCTTTATAGATACTCATTTTGATAGACATTGCTACTAAAACAAATTTAAGAACACATTCCTTCCTTCCTTCTCTACCTGTTATAGCAGTGGTTCTCAACCTTTTTAATGCCGCGACCCCAACCGGTCGTAAGTCAAGGACTAAACCAGTCGTAAGTCGAGGACTAAACCGGTCGTAAGTCGAGGACTAAACCGGTCGTAAGTTGAGGACTACCCAACCGGTCGTAAGACAAGGACTTTCCCTGCCTGGGAGCGCCGCACATGCGTGGTTCCGCCCCCTGCGCCGGCCGAGGCGTAGCTGGCAAGCGGCAGAGACGGAGCAGGCCGACCACCAGCTGGCCCAGCCCAAGGGAGGTAAGGCACCCGCCGGAAAAGGGAAAAAAAATGGCGGACAAAAAAAATGGCGAACAGCCTTGCTTGGCAACCCCCATGAAATGGTCAGTCGACCCCAAATGGGGTCCCGACCCACAGGTTGAGAACCACTGTGTTATAGTGTTCTTAATCACTTATGCCGGAGAAGATTCCATTTTTTCCTTTCATTATTTGTTTTCAAAATTTATCTAGCATGTATGCTTTGCCCTTTAATAGATTATTTTCATTTAATAGATATATTTTCATTATTTTCACTGGGTGGTAATCTCTTACAAGTTTTATCAGCTCATATTTATGTCAAGTATTAAAGAATTCTTAGCTGATTAAGAAGTTTTATATCAGAACTGGGTATGATTAAAATAATAATTAAAAATGTTGCTGCATCTTTACTTTTCATTTCCATGTGCAATTGCCACAGTTTGCATTATATGAAAAGTATTTCATTTTCTAAATTGCTTGGGTAACTTCTAAGATATCCAAGCAATTTATAGAAAAATGCATGGTACTTGACAGATACTTGATGGGAAAATGTTATTTTTAGTAAATGTATCGCCTACTTAAACACGAGCATATTCTCACCTATCAAATTACAAAGAGTAGCAGTGACTAACTAAACACAGCCAATTTCTATTAGAACTGATTAACGGTTTAAAAATTATCCAGATTTCAGATCAACATTATCTCATCAAGTAAGCTGCAGATTTGAAGACTAGCATCAAAAGTTGAAGCCATTTACAATAAAAGGCCTAGTATATAGCTTTTGCAACATAAGATAATCAAAACAAAGTCAGTCTACACAGCCTTGCTACATTTGTTAAATATCTATTGTTGCCTATTTTATTATCAGGAAAAAGTTCCAAGGCAGCAAGACAAAAGAAGAGTTAATCAGCTAATCAGCAATAAAGATGCCAGAAATGAAGGAAATCTCTAGTTGCCATTGAAAGTTGAATTTCTACAACATTAATACCATATTTATTTATAATCTATCATTTATTTACTTATGGTTAATCTTACCTAAACATATAACTTTTCTCATTCTTGATTTTTTTTGAACTTTGTTAAATATGCACAATAGCCAGAGAGGTTCCCCAGCTATTCAAGTTATAGAGCAATCTTTAGAAAATTCAAAGTTAACTACAGATAAAGACGTTTGACTGAAAGCTGATTCTAGGCACACATAAAAATGGACACATCAGTGATTATTTTGTTTAATTCCAGGCTTCAAATGTGTAAAGTCACAAATACAATAGCTAATTTGTGTATATCACATTTATTTATTTATTTATTATTTAAATTTATATACCGCCCTATCTCCCTTACGGGACTCAGGGCGGTGAACAGGCAATAG